ACGAAATATTCTCATTGAATACAACGATGTGTTACATTGTTATTCATCAATGTTTTGTTGTTTGTGCATCACTACTTTATATGTAGTGATGGTGGTGCACAGAATAAGAAGACATAAGTATGTTCTGGAATCGATGATCGTGACTGTTTGTGTAAGCCAAGTAGTGGTTTGCAGCAAAAGTGTTGAATTTTGTTTAGCTCACTTATGTCCTTGTTTGTTAGGTTGATCCATAACTCGCAACCATAAAGGATTGTAGGCATGGTGACTTTCTTATATAGACCAACTGACTGTACTGGGTTTAGACCCAGGGGTTTAACGCCATATGTCCGGGTCCGGCCCGGGCCCGGCTCGGGCCCGGGTCCATTGATAATCGGTAAACACCTTTTCCGTGTTTCGTGTTGACATTTTGATAAAAGTAAGTAAAATAAATGCTACGGGGTTTGACACTTCTTTTGGTTAGTTTCCTTTCGTTTTGCATAATACTTAAAAACCACATTTCATAGAATTACCCTAGTACCACACACAAGTGAGCCCGGACCCATTCTACATCAGTCCGGATCCATTCTACACCAGTCCGGACTCATTATTTACCAGTCCGGACCCATTCTACATCAGTCCGGACCCATTCTACATCAGTCTTGACTCATTATGTACCAGTCCGGACCCATTCTGTATCAGTCCGGACCCATTCTACACCAGTCCGGACTCATTATGTACCAGTCCGGACCCATTCTGTATCAGTCCGGACCCATTCTACACCAGTCCGGACTCATTCTGTATCAGTCCGGATCCATTATATATCAGTCCTTATTATTATTATTATTATTATTAAGGAGGGGGCTCCGGACCCGGACCGATGGATAAAACCCGGACCCGGACACGAGGTCAGAGTCCGGGTCCGGGTTTTATTCACACCCTAATTTATATGATGATGAACTGATGACATGTTGCAGATGTTTTGTGAGCCATTTCTGCATCATTCATGTGAGCATAACAAGCAGCTCTTGAGAACTTAGACCTTTGTTGCTATCCGGGACATAATGCAGAGCAATAAATGTTTTACTTTTAGTACTAGAGTTACATGTTAAGTATAGCCTGTTTGCAGTGATAATTTATAGATGGCCTTTACTGTATAGCTCCAATCCTATGTACTGTACCTGATTGTTAGCGTTGTATAGTTCTTCTTATCGGTTACAGATTGATAATGATTTTTTTTTCAGGGTTATATCTGCTTGAATTTACATTTTGATGCATGACTTTGTGTTTGGACGCATTGCATGACACTTCATCTGTCAGTGAGCTGCCCAAGAAACCAGAATGTGGAGACCATTTTATAATAAATTAGAGTCACTTGGCTCGGGAGTTAAACGGTATGAGTCAGCAGTCGTCAGAAAAGAAACGTACTCATGATGAAATATGAATTAGGCGGCAGGTCATTGTGACGAAAAAGTAGGCCTTGTCTTTTACCCTCGCTTTTGTATCGCAGTTTCAGTTTTGACACTGTGTTTCTGGGACGCTTCCTGAGGCTGCAGAAGGTGATGTTTCCAGGAGTGACATCGATCACAGTTCTCCTGTTCATCTTTCTTCTCACCATCCTGCTGTTACGTAAGTGGAGACCGAGTGGTCATAGCTAGTGCATGGGGAAAACTATTTAGGAATAGGAAGTCGGGTGCAAGTCGTGAAAAACGTAAAATCTATACGATATTAGAGAGTATAGTTGCATTTCAGGAGGATGTAATACGAAGATGATCGAATGTCTGCAAGTATTATTATTTTGTGTTGGGAGGCATATGTAACTGTTCAGTAGTAGTTAATTAGGTTTATGTAAAACTGAATGCATTTTAAATATACTACTACTGGTTTCATGATTTTATTTTAATATTATTCTATATTCCATACTATTTAATACAAAACCTGTGTTCATACGTTGTAGCAATTGTATCTTCAGTAGTTAAAATGCATAATGTTGCAGCCTATGTATTTCATCAGACATCTCATATATCTTCTTTACTTTTACTAGAGGAAGTAGTCACATACAGTGTGGGTTTGCTGCCATCTCGTTTCTACAAAGTGTTGGGTGAAAAGGATATGCCAGGGTTCAAGACAGAGCTCATCTTTGCGACTATACTCATTTGTGCAATTGCATTTGTAAGATATTTTTTGTTTTTACAAAACGAATCGGAAAGATTTAATACTTGGCGCATATGTGATTTTCTTTCAAGCAGAGCATTCATACATCATGTATCTGAAATTTTGAACAGTGCAGTATTGCCAGATGAAAGCTCCTATATCAGGAAATCATGGAAAATAAATGGTTTAAATCATATTGTAGTCATGATGTTTAGCATATATGTCATATTCAGACAATTAAGTGCATTTTTTCCAAGCTTAACGTATTCATCTCTAAACAGCACCGCTACTCTTACTGGCACAATGGGACCAGCTCACTGGGAAACCTAATAATAATATCTTCAGCACTTTACTAACATTTTCGTGACTGCATTGAAAGGAGATTGAAATGCTGTCTGTCTTCTCTCTCTCTCTCTCTCTCTCTCTCTCTCTCTCTCACTCTCTCACTCTCCCGCTCCTTCTCCCTCTTCCTCTCTCCCTCTCTCCCTCTCCTCTCTTTCTAGACATGTAAGAGGAAGTAGCATTAACAAGTAGTATTACAGTAACATATACAGGTACACTACCGATTTTCCGGACACTGATGGTTGGGAACCTCTTTTAGTTCTGATAAAATTCACCGGGTGGCCACCACATTGTTTTGCTCAAATTTTACCCTAGCTATGGCATCTAAGGCAGGTGCAAGTGTCAGTGGTGGTTTACATTAATTTTCATTTAATATTTGTTGACATTTCTAGCAGTGCATGGTGCTTTAGAGATGATGGGAGGTATTTAGTTGCTCAGAGGTGTATTGTTGAATTATTATTATGGGACCTCTTTTGGTCCGGAAAAACGGATGATCCAAAAAGGCCTTGGAACCAAGGGTTCCGGAAAATCGGTTGTGTACCTGTACTGGTTATCTCAGTATTACTTAAATGTTTGAATGTTTCAGATAAAGAGTACGGGTCAGTACACCAGCTCCCTACTTTATGTAACTTGGAGAAAGTTTGTGTGCAATAGGCTTCATCGCATATACTTCCAGGACTCAAACTATTACAAGCTTAATGTATTGGACAACACCATTGACAATCCGTATGTTTTCAGTTGTAACATGTATAGAAAAGTCACTAGTTACATTTATAACGAAAGTGATAAGAATCGTTTCTATAATTATAGAAATTTCTTAAATTATTTTTCCCAGGTTTCAAGATTTTACCCGACACTCATGATGTGTTTTTCTGTAATATATTGTTGATATTTAATAGAATTATTATAACTGAGTATTGAAGTGGTTAGTGCTTGTTAGCTCAGCTGACGAAGTCAGATGCAGCTTGTAGAATCGCATGAATGTCCGTCCGGCCGTCTGTGCGTCAACAGTTACGGCACAAATCTTAACCGTGCAACATACGAATTTGATATTCGGGACGTGGGGGGGGGGTATCGCGAAAAGGACTCGGTATGTCGAAGGAGATGTGTCAATGGAGGGGGAATATTTTCCCCTTAACTTAAGGTATAGGAGGAAATACGGAATTGCGGCACAAATCTCAACGGCTCGACCTACGCTCTTAATATTCGATGTATAGTGTGATGGGGAGGAAACCCATCACCAGCGTGAAATTGGAGGTCAAATGGCAGGGTGGAGAAAGGTCAGATATCAGACATTTTCTGAGGACATGGTCTGATGGACCGAGTGCAAAACTTTTTTGTTTCAGCGCTGACCTACCATTTTTATCACTTTATTGAAATGACCGTGAAATCTACTTTCCGTTGACGTGCGAAGAGTAAGTGTCTGATCATAACCTTTTGACCCTCAAGAGGAGGGTTAAACATGGATTTGTTGACTGTTAACAAAAGACGGAACTGCTTTTGCTATTAGAGCCCCCTCCACCTGCCCCCTCATCCCTCCACCCTCCCCCCCACCACCAGCACTACACTTGCGCTCAACGCATATCCATGATAACGTTAATATAGCGAAGTCATTAAAGTTACACAGCTATATTTTTATTACTGTACTACCGGTATAGCAAAGCCTATCAACGCGGTGGCAGGAGCGCGCACTTGATTCGGTTGCCAGTGAGTTTATCAGAAGAATACCCGGCTACATTACACGTCAGTTGAGCGCCGTCGCTCTGCAGCACTTGTTTTAGTAATTGCTCCATTTTAATATTTTATAGCTATACATATTTTAGCTCACTGTAAAGGGAATAGTAAAATGGTAGGTAATGTAATTATTATAGGAGTACATGATAAATACATGGGAAAACCCATTTATTAATCTACTAGTGGGTATATTAATGAAAATAGGAGAGGTGTAAAGTGTAAATTGTAATTTCTTCACGTACAAGCACATAGCTGCGATCTTATGCAGAGACCAGAGAATTACGCAGGATGTGGACAAGCTTTGCAAACAGTTCAGCCAGGTTGTGCCTGAGCTTCTTATTTCTCCATTCACGATCGCATACTACACATATCAAGCATGGAAGAGGTAGGAATGAAGTGTCGTCTATTTAGTTCTTAACTATACAGTATAGTACTATAACTGAATTTCAGTACTCAGCATGAGAAATTATGTTCGAGTGGCACCATTGTTAAGTGGGAATATGAGAAGCCTACCATTTCAGCATCCACGATGTGCTACGTCCATGTAAGAGGAATTCATTTATAAGCTAGCAAAAACGTTCCTTGGTCATAGTATAACAGTTGTGCAACCCTCTATAACTAACCTACCTATTTCTCTCCCTCTCCGTCTCTCTCCTTCCTCTCTCCCTCTATCTGTCTATCTCTCTCTCTTTCTCTCTCTCTCTCTCTCTCTTTCTCTCTCTCCTCTCTCGCTCACTCGCTTTCTCTCCTCCCCTCTCCTCCCTCCCTCCCTGCCTCCCTCACTCCCTCTCTCTCTGTATATTTGCCTATACATATATGTGTGCCATTGTATTCTGCCAGCACTGGTTGGCTGGGACCGGTCAGCGTCTTTGTGTTCTTCGTCGTGAGCACGGTGGTGAACAAGCTTCTCATGTCTCCCATAGTCAACCTCGTTGTCCAGCAGGAGAAAAACGAGGGCAATTTCAGGTGAGCGCGCGAGTGGCAGGGTAAAAAATACACGGGAGCGATGAGCGATTCGCTCTTCAAACCTCCGAAATCGCTCCCGTGAGGCTCAAAATAGTTCCCGTAAAACATTTTTGACGAGAGCTATATTTTCCACAAACTTGAAAAAGAGCTCCCGTGAAAAAAAAAGTCATTTTTTCCCTGGCGAGTGGTGTATACATAATAATACCGAAATGAAAAACTTTAAACGCGCTTGGCCCCCTGAAGGCACGTGATTGTATGCATTAACATTTAGAAACCTCCATGTAGGGTTTTTGATTTTGGTCTTATCTTATTGCAAAGATTAGTACTGATTTCTCCAGTGAGTAGCGTGATTTACAATGGTCAGTCAAATGTCTGAACACAAGTTCCCTATCCTAAGATGAACATCCACAGTGGTGTAATTTGCTATTTTGATCGAGGATAAGTGAAGATAATTCATTTAGATTTGGTTAAAATCATAGTTTAGTGTTTTTTTTCGTTATCGCGCTTGTGATGTCTTGACACGAGGTGAAAATCATGCCATTCGTGCCTAAATCGTATGTAGAAGTATGCATTAGCAGTACCTATATATGCTATTAAACTGCTACAATCGCACAGCTATCAATGTCAGTATTTACCACTACTGTAGTCACATAGATTCCATTGTGTCAATGAGTTTACATATAGATCTAGATATACACAGTATACTGTGGATATATCCACGTTTATCAATTGCTATTAGTGGCAGCACTCGCTACTGCAGTGAGCCAGTTATATCAAACGGATATGAAAATCTGTTTAATGGGTGGAGGGAGGGAAGGGTAGGGGAGGGAAATGAAGATGAAGAGGAGATATAGAAAGAGGCGTGCTTCTTCTACATACTCTGTTCCATCTCTTACTGCTTCTCTCTAGGAGGTCGTTCCTGTTTTGCTCTCCTTTTCTATTATACAACCTTCCTTTCCTGTCCACCAAACTGCTCATCCCTTTACTCTGACTAATTGTGAGTCCATCGAATATTCTATTTTTAGCTCATCTGACATAGTCAGATGCAGCTTGTAGAATCCCATGAGCATGCGTCCGTGCGTCCGTCCGTCCGTCAACAGTTGGGCACAAATCTTAACCGCTTGACGTACGGTCACGATATTCGGGACGTTGGGGGGGATCGTCAAAACGAGTTGGGATGTCGAAGCTGGGGGTCAAAGGTCAAGAGGTGTAAAAGAAGGGGGAACATTCCCTCCTTAACTTAAGGTATAGGGAGGAAATGCAGAATTGCGGCACAAATCTAAACGGCTCGACCTAGGCTCGTGATAGTCGGTGTATAGCATCATGGTAGGAAAAGCCATCACTGTGCCGAAATTGGAGGTCACGGGTCAAAGGTCAATGGGGCACAGGGCAGATTTTAGACATTTTCTGAGGACATGGTCTGACGGAGCGATTGAAAAACTTTTTTGTTTCAGCGGTGACCTAGCATTTTTATGGCTTTATTGAAAGGACCATGAAATGTACTTTCTGCTGACATGCAAAGAGTAAGTGTCGGATAACCTTTTGACCCTCAAGAGGAGGGTTAAACATTGATTTGTTTCTCAACTGCGTTGGCAGTTTTACCAGAGTACCTGTGGTTGTGGAAAGCTCCCATTTTACAGTGAAATTCCACACATAACTCTTACTTGAACAACGCTTACTTAGGAGATAATGAGATGACTTATGAATAGTTGGAATACAGTCACTAGCATTCAAATAATTACCCAGGAGTGAGGCTGCAGATTTCCCAGACATAATTTAATTTTCTCATCAAATTTTGGCACCAATATAGACGCAAGTGTGTACGTTCTTGAGCTTATTCGGTCCACTAATCACTGGCCCACCTTGTACTGAAATTAGTTTACAGATATTTGCTATCGTATTGCTGTAAATTGTAATCTTGCACGAGCTGCTCTGGTTGTATCAACTATTGAGCTATTTTTAACGAGCCAGATGTGCCTCGCAAGGGGTTTAATGTACCTTATTACCTGACACCATAGAACGCACGTTATGTATAGTAATAATATGGTAATTATTCGCTCCTGTTTTTTGCAATCCATCGTCACACTGACAGCTGCCATTGCTGCAATTAATGCTTTGGCTGACCGATCATTCGATGCATCGATGCCTTTGATAGCGGCCCGCCATCTATCGGAATTTAATTACACTAGTTTGAAGTGTTGTTTTTTGGGTTAGAAATGAACGTATGTATAGGACGTCTTGCTATGCACAAATGAATTTATCAGCAGAACACCAGACACCAGATGAGCCCTGTCGCTCTGCGGCACTTGTTAGTTTTCAATGTGACAGTATTTTCCAGGACCCTTCTTTTTATCTGCTGGAGTCACACCTGTACAAACGTCAACGTGCTTTTAGTACTCATGTCTATTACAAATTTAATAAATCATCATTATCCTAACCCTAACTATATAATCCGTCCCTCAAACCCAACCCCTAACACTAATCTTAGCGATTACATACCCCTAACTTTGCCCTTATCATAACTTAAACCTTATTCAGCCTCTCATTAAAAACTATAGTCCTAAAGAAGGGTATATATTCTACTGTTTATGTCAGTGTGCGTGCGTGAGTGCATGGTCGTGTGTGTGCGTGCAGGCTGTATTCATGCATGCTGACTCACTCACTGGGCAGGTTCAAGCACATGCAGATACGCGCAAACGCCGAGTCGGCAGCATTCTACAAGGCTGACAGGGTCGAGGAGGCACGGACCAATCAGAAGCTGGACTTGCTGTTAGACATACAAGCACGGCTGATGAACCGGGAATATCTCCTACATTGTAAGCTACGCATGCAGCCCTCCCATCTATGTTTTATCTCACCTTTATCGCAATGACCTAGTCGATACGTTTAATCTTTTTCACTCAAGTTTCTGTTGACTTGCCAACTTCCAGGTAAAACTTTACACATAAACCTGGATGTATATTTCGATTAAAATATTAAATGATTTTATAAATGCTTATACAATTGTCTTTTGATTAAATTTTCCATTCCAGCAATAATCAGTGATAGTGTTTAGGAGACAATACATTTGACAATACAATACATTTAGTTGGCTTTTGGCAGATTTTATTGACGATCGATTCAACGTTGTTGTATTGTTTTAGTTTCGATAAACTTCATTGACTACATCGGGAGCATTCTGAGCTATGTTGTGCTGGCGATACCAATATTTGCTGGTGTTTATGATGACCTAAATTCGGCTGACCTCTCTGCACTCATTAGCCAGGTTAAAAAGCTTATGATATTCTTTGCCTCGTGTGAGGGGGAGGGGAGTGGTTAATTTCAAGATGCAAGGTTTGTCCATTTTTAGCTCGCCTTGACATCGTCAAGATGAGCTATTGCCATGGGGTGTCATCCGTCGTACGTCCGTCCGTCTGTCCGTCCGTCCGTCAACATTTGGCTACGGTCAACGATAACTCAAGAACCGTTTGACACACATGTTTCAAATTGCATATAGTTGTTACTCCTATGGGAGAGGTTTGAACATCCTATTTTGGAGCACGCCAGTCAACCTACATTCGAGCCACGTCCACTTTTTGGCAAAAATGGAAATGGCCATAAGTCAGTTCAGGTTCAATGAATTTTGCTCATTTCTGGTATGTGTATGAATGAGGACTGGCCCCAAAACGTATCACACGGGTTTTGATTTTTTTTTTTATATTGCAATATAGTAGGTAGATTTTGGCAATTTCACTATGGTCATTTCCAGCTGCTTGCGCTACGGGTCAACATAACTCAAGAAATCCGCTTGACCACATGGTTTCAACTATGATATTACAGTTGTTTATCTATATGGAGAGATTTGAATTCCGATATTTCGTAGCACGCCAGTCGACCTATTTCAGCCACTGTCCATTTTGGCAAAAATGGAAATGGCCATAAGTCAGTTCAGGTTCAATGGATTTTGCTCATTTCTGATATGTGTTTGGCAAAAATAAAAATGGCCATCTAAATTCATTCGATTTTGTTAAATTTTGGTATGTGAATGTGTAAGGCAGCCCAAAACATGTTGTTACTACCTATGGAGAGATGACAGTGCCTGATTACGTTTATTTCGTCTTAACTGGTCAACGAACTGTACAATCATAACTATATACGTGTAATATTTGTGTTTTAGATTTTTCGGTGACAGTACATTTGACTGGAATATTTTATTGTTTTTATTTGCGCGATATTCAAAAACCAAAATGGCGATCATTTAGGCGTAGCGCCATCTCTCGTCAAGATTTCAGACTTTCAGATCTGAAACATTAATTTTCGCATCAAAACTTATGCAATGCATATATCATTATCACGAGTATATAATGGGAGATATGCTATATAATGGGAGTTCTCCTATATATACTCTTGCTTTATATATCCCCGCTCCCTCTTCTATCACACCCAAGGTGAGCTACAGTACGTGTCATTGACACTTTCATTATTATCTGAGAACTAGAAAACATCAGATTAATTTTTCGGGATTCGGCAATAGAAGTCGATCGGGACGTCGGAATGCCGAAATTGCAATTTTAGTTGAGCGGGAACTGGGAAGTGGCATATTTTTTTAGCTGGGAAACTGGATATTAATCCCCCAGACACATTTTCCCACTTGCTTACTGTAACGTCTTTCAATATCATATTAACAGGAGTACATTAACGATTACATTACCAGTACATCGTACGGTTGTATAGTTGTTGTAAATGTACTCTTCGTATTAAATAAATGTAATATCATGAACATGTATTATATTATTGTCATGTGGCTTTGATCTCTCAACACAATAAAACAGTTTTGGCTTTTAAATGCTTTCATTATTCTCTCCCAATTGATGGCTCTGTGCTGTACTTAATAATTCCTGATTGAGATGTTACCTTTTCTTTTCAGACTGCATTTGTATGCATCTATCTCATCTTTTCATTCACACGCCTCATAGACCAGTCTGTGAAGCTGACAGATATTGCTGGAACGGCACACAGGTAGTGATTTATAAGTCGGGTGCACATAAATAATTACCACTAAAATCTCTAGTATATAATTAGATGATAAGAAAACTTACTGTAGATGTTATGTTAGGTTTGCTTTTAGTTATAATTTCTCATGGGTTCTTTTTATTGTTAGAATGATATTTTGCAGAAATAGCATTAGACAGTCTTTCTGAAATCTGTGAAAGATAATAAAGCTACGTTCAGTAGCTGTTTAGCTCGCCTTGACATCGTCAAGATGAGCTATTGCCATGGGGTGTCGTCTGTCGTACGTCCATCCGGCCGTCCGTCCGTCAACATATGGCTACGGTCAACGATAACTCAAGAACCGTTTGACCCACATGTTTCAAATTGCATATAGTTGTTACTCCTATGGGAGAGGTTTGAACATTCTATTTTGGAGCACGCCAGTTGACCTACATTCGAGCCACGTCCACTTTTTGGCAAAAATGGAAATGGCCACAAGTCAGTTCAGGTTTAATGGGTTTTGCTCATTTCTGGTATGTGAATGAATGAGGACTGGCCCCAAAACATATCACACAGGTTTTAAAAAAAAATTTAAATTATGCAAATTAGGTAGATTTATGGCCATAGTGTCTGCCTACGGTCAACGATAGCTCAAGAACCTTTTGACCCCCTACTTTTGAGTCACGCCCACTTTTTGGCAAAAATGAAAATGGCCATCTAAATTCATTCGATTTTGTTAAATTTTAATGTGAATGTGTAAGGCTAGCCCCAAAACAGTTGTTACTCCTGGGAGAGATAACAACGTCCTATTACGTTTATTTCGTCTAACTGGTTAACAACTCTACAATCATACCTATATACGTGTAATATTGTGTTTTAGATTCTTCGTTACAGTAATTTGACTGGAATATTTTATTGTTTTTATTTGCGCGATATTCGAAAACCAAAATGGCGATCTTTTAGGCGTAGTGCCATCTCTCGTCAAGATATCAGACTTTCAGATCTGAAACATTAATTTTCGCATCAAAACTTATGCATATATCATTATCAAGAGTATATAATGGGAGATATGCTATATAATATGGGAGTTCTCCCATATATACTGTTGCTTTATATATCCCCCCTCCCTCTTCTATCACACCCAAGGTGAGCTACAGTGTCATTGACACTTTCATTTATGTTTCCTTTGTGTTATTCTGTTTGATTAGTTGTTCATTTCTTTGCTTTCTTCACTGTGTGAGGGTGTTGTATGTGATGTATGTTTTGATATAATAGCATATGGTACAGATTTAATATGTATAATATCTTTATTTAATAGGATAGGAGAGTTAATAGAGGTCATTCAACGTGTGGAAAAGCCCAACACTATTAACAGTAGTAGCTCTAGTGGATTTGACAGCAGTGCTACTGCAGAATCACTGTAAGTGAAGTGGAGCTGTTAATTTTAGATAATTTTGGATAATTTTAGAACTGAACACATAGAATAAGGGAGGATTCATCAAAAAATTTTCATTTAAAAGGCTCTTAAAATGCATCAGTAAATCTTAGCATTTTCATATCACTTAATTGTAATTATTTCATTGTAAATTTACCCAAAAATTTTTAAGGAATGTTTCTCATTGGAATCGCACTTTTTTGTTATTATTCCATTAAAAGTTCACCCATTCACGTGGCATGACACTAATTTGAAACTAATTTGAATAATGTTGTTTACTTCGTAGCATGGATAAGAGTGTCACGTGCATGGAGCATGTGCGACTCGCATACAAACTAGAGAATGTCAGTTACGCACCACCGAATGACGACAAGCTTTTAGTAAAAGGTATATACAATCAAATTTGTGATTTGTTTACATCTATAGAATGGATATCTCTCTATAAAGAACACTTTTGGGATTTTCCTCAAGTAACCCTTATATAGGAATTGTCTATATTCAACATGTTCACGGCCTAACCCGCAGTAAACGTGGTGATTACAATAGCATTTAACCATTTATGGTTTTATGAGTACATTAAATATTCTATTGTGTAGCCACGTACCATAGTTCTCACAAGAGCTGTGAAAATTTTAGTCGATAAAGCAGTCGCTAGTACAAAGGACATTAAATAGCAACATTAACAGACACAGTCCCTCGGCGCCACCACCCGAACCATGCAGTGGTGATCATGCGTCTGTGCGTGTCCATTCAGGTCTGAATATGCAGATCATGGGTGGCGTGAACATTCTTGTGACTGGAGACAGCAGCTGTGGCAAAACCTCACTAATGCGCATCTTGGCCGGGCTCTGGAACTCTGCCTCAGGTGATGTGCGGTGTCGGGGTGGGTTGCTGGTTATGTAGGAGGAAGCGTGCTCTTCCACATGGGTTGGTAACTTGGTAGGTGTGATAATGTCGTTGCTGGTTTTATTCTGACATGTCAGTAATGAGATATGCATAATATGGATGGTATTAGGTTATTAGAATTGTATCTCTCTCACGCACGCATGCACACTCCTTGTTACTCCATTTATATCTTCCTCCCTTCCCCTTTCTATCTCTCACTCATTCTCCCTCTTACTCCCTATATACCTTTTCCCCTCCCCCTCTCAATCTCTCTCTCTCTCTCCCTCCCTCTTGCTCCATATATACTTTCCTCCCTCCCCCTCTCTATCTCACTATTTCTGCCTCTTTTTTTTTCTCCATAATCTCTCACTTTCTTTCTCCCCCCACCTATACACAATGCATGCATTCATGCACGCACACGCACACGCACACGCACACGCACACGCAAGCACGCACGCACACATGCACACACGCAAGCATGCACGCACACAGCAACATAACAACACAAACATGTATAATGATCATCTTATTTCTACAGGTAAAGTTGAGCAGATGATTAAAATTGGTCCAAGTGGAATGCTATTTCTTCCTCAAAAGCCATTCTTAAGTGATGGTAGTCTGAGGCAGCAGGTATGGTTAAAAACTTCATGTGTAGCTCATAAACATGTAACTTTGGTATACAAACATTAGAGTAGATATATGGGCATTGTTCTGGTTATCATTCAACCAATATTCTATAGTAGGGTGTCTATTTATTGTCAACTGATTATGTTTTATACAGATAATATACCCATTCAAAGACAGCTATGCTGGAACAGGTAGGATATATTTCATCATGATCATGTGTGGGATCAGCATTGGAATAGCATTCGTGGTAATCCGGGAAGGTGTAATCCTGATTTCATTCAATCGAATACCGGTGACATGGGTTCTATAGAGAGGTGTCTGATTGCTCCATATCTTTTATATTCTGGTTAGAATAGTGTAAAACACGTGTGTCTTGTTAATTATGACTGTCCTTGCTGTGTAGCGATTGCACTAACTTACTGACTTAATTGTTGACAGGTTCAGAAGAGGATGCGAAAATATTAGAGTATTTGAATCTAGTCGACATGACCACACTACTGGAAAGGACTGAGGGTCTGGACACTTACCAGGAATGGAACTGGTACTTACTGCACATCTTGACATCTATAATAATTATATATATATTGATATATTGATATATTTATTTATTTATTTATTTATTATATAGCTGTAATATCAACAGCATGTAATTTAATTTGTAGGGCCTACTCTGCGGAATTTTACGGAATAGTCTGCACAATAGATAATTTTACGGTTTGAGAAACGACTATAGGTTCTAATAAGTATAGATATGTGATACATTTCCCCATCTTTAGGCAGTTATAACCTATATAGGTTTCCCAGCCACTTAGCTGGTGAGTTAATGATTAGGTGATTCATGCAGACGTAATCATTTGTAGGTACGACGTACTGTCTCCGGGAGAGATGCAGAGGCTATCGTTTGTTCGACTCTTCTTCCATTCGCCCATGTTTGCAGGTGAGAGTTGAATTTTGAATCGTAACGTCCAGCAAGAAAGCACAGGATGGATTTCAATGGATGCATTCTTGGGAAATTTGTGAATTTGTTAGAATTTATAGCGAAGTCACCTTAGTATATGCAGCTTTTGAGATAAAGCGTTCCGGGTAAGGGCCCCAGTCGGGGATGAGCGGTCATTTTTTTTTTTTTAATTAAAAATGACCATAATGATCTAGAGATATCTGAACCTATATATCCGGATTAAATATGCACTTAGGAACTTATTTTTGTAAAAATCTCATTTTTGTCCAGGTAGGCCATTTTCAGCATTGACATGTGTGCGTGCTTATTACTCAAAACAATGACTTGCGACTTATTCCGTATTATGCTGGAGCGGGTCACATTTATGTACTCACAGCACCTGTAAAAACTGAGAGTGCCTGCCCGGCAGCAATTAAATGCCGTATCGTGTGCTTTTTTAGGGAAAGGCCGACGGTTGTTGGCTTGTACTGGTAAAGGAGTGTTGACTTTATTGCATGTTGTACTTCAGTTCTCGATGAAGCTACCAGTGCAGTGTCAGCCAACATGGAAAAGACACTCTACGCTACCTGTCGGCAGCTAGGGATAACTTTGGTGAGTGTTGGACATCGTGCATCCGTGAGGCAATATCATGATGTTGAACTGAACCTAGATGGCACTGGAGGTTGGAAAATGGATCCCATTAAGACAGAGTCACCCAGTGAACAAGAGCTTTCTAACCATCTGTGATTTCATTTGATATATAATAGCAAGTTGCCATTAATTATTGATTTATGTGCCCCAGAATTTATATGAGAAATTATTTTTGTATAATTATTATTTCGTGCAGTCTGTATATAGACAAAAAGTCTATAGGAGATTTTTGTACAAATCTCTGTTTGTGAGCTAAAATTAAAAACGTGGATAAGAAGTTTTCTGTGGAATAGCATTCTATCGTCCATCTACCCTGTCGTTACCAGTTCTAAGCCTTATTAACTACACTTCATGATACTGCCATCACGTTACCTACCGGTTGAATATTGGCAGTACTGTCAGAGGTGTATTAATTGCTGCCATCTGGCTAGAGGCAATCCACATGCTCTTTGTCATAGGCAAGCTCAAACCTGAAGGGACTGTAATTTCCCAACCGAAGATTCTTGCTGATAAATCAGGTCAATTGTGATATCACAAAGCAGTTAAGTTATCAAAGAGCTATTGTGGTGTCACATAGTAGTTGTCATATAACAGCACAATTGGAATATCACAGAGAAATTAGGATGTCGCAGAGCAGTTGGGATATCACAGCGCAATTGTGGTGTCATACAAAGATTGTGGTCATGCCATATGCATTGCCAATTTCCAATTGCCACGGATGCCCTGTATCACCTCTGTACTGCTTATCGGTCACACAGCCACGTCAGGCTGTGTTTATTGTTGGACCCTGTAGTGCTTACACATCATGTGTGCAGACTAGCACAACAAATGGCAGATTGTGTGAACATGCTATGCTGGTGAACACGGCAGAAGTTGACCAAACATTAGAGGGTGCTGTGAGTGGATTGCAACTAGTTTGTATATTGTGCACTCTACTATATTTCCAACAGGTGGCGGCAGCTTAGTTCAGATCATTCGGTTTACAGACAGTGACAAAACGTTTGTACTATTAGGTCGAGTACTACTTTTTAAAAAGTAGTACTAAAAAGTGCTATTAGTGAATGGGTTGAAACTTCCATCTAGCAGGAATTCTCAAAAAAAATTCATATACCGTTCAATTACAATCAAGATGAGGCCAGTTTACATGTTCATTAAATGAAATGCGTAGGTACCAGATATACTCTGCTACCAGTTTGAATATGTAATTGTGTCAATCATTGTGTGGTAAATATTTTTTAAACTCATGTATGTTGACCCGTCGCGTGTCTTGTTATAGGTTTTATAATGTTGCACAGTTGCAACTACAGGTGCGTTGATATATGTTGCACCTATATAGTCTCGATGTGGCGCGTGCGCGAGGTAATGGCATATCAGCTAGAGTGTTACCAGAGACACAAATATATCTAACCAATACTTTGCTATGCTGTGTTATGAAATGCCATGGTGGCATGTCAATGTGTGTCCGAGGTAACCTTGCCTCTCATATCTGGTGCTCAGTAGTGACTATGGCCTACAGTGCATTACGGCTATATTAAAATCTTTGTGACGCCTATGAAAATAAAAAAAACGTCTTTATCACACACGCACACACACACGCACACACACACGCACGCACGCACGCACGACTCGTATTCAATGAAACCGTCAAACGTAATCCAGTGGAGGCTATTGTTCCCATAGCTATAGGTGAATGCACACAAAACTACCAAATCAGCATATATATACCTTGTCAACCTCTAGCCGTTGTATGACATGTCTATGTTGCAGGAGTACAATTTTATAGCTATATAGTGTGATGTTCATGTTGACAGTAAATGTGCCAAAACATTACCAAAGTCGTTAGATTAGAAATGGTCACGGCTATGCCCAAATATGGTTAGATCCATTCCATGATGCGAAAATAGTCAGATCACAGTGGTTACAGAATTGCAGTAAAAAGAGGATGGAATTAGTACCAGGAGTAAATAATAGGAGGATACTTTACGCCTGCTTGTGTATTGTGGGTTGAGTGTTGTAAACTATGAGTATCATGAGTTTTGGAATTCGACCTTTTATTCAGTATCAGTGTAAGGGGAGTAGAGTAACGCCGTAGACTATTCCTAGTTTACCTAAGCAGATGTGATATATTACTACTAGTCTGTCGCGAACAAATTTTTTAGCAATATTAAAATCATTCGATGGCAAAACAACTGGCTGTGTTTCATTTATTTATGATCTATATTCATTCGTTCATATACATGTGCATGTACATCATTTTGTGGCACTGTTATACAACTGTCAATATTATGGAAAATGTGAAGATTTCCGTTATTTTTCCTCTGGTGTCATAACAATCTATTTGCATTTTGCTCTAGCATATACTATGTTACTTCTGTTCTACATTTTTTTTATTTTTTTTATAAGTAATGTAAACCAGAGTTTTAATATAAAACTTTGATTATATAGTTTATTTATATTCAATTACACAATATGCGTTGCTTATAAAATCAGCAACTTCACGATTTATTTATGTCCCATAAGAAAAACGATGGATGTGTCACGTAAAAAAATTATTTGCATCTTGGATCACATCCTTATACTGAAACGGTAATACATAGTAATCCTACACCCAACTTATAATATACATGCAAATCTGTACATATGTACAGATACAATTAAATTGCAGAATTATTAATAAAGGTTTATGAACTCACTTGCAGCAAATAAGCATGCAATAGTGGTTCGATCTATCGTTCAACCGTAAATCGGTCGAAAATTGCAAATGGCCATGCTATAGTCGTTGCAATATAGTTTCGCCAAAACTATATAATAGTGCTCCTGGTAGATACACCGGTGATAGTGCTCATACATAGTTTGCGAAACGTACTAAACCACAAGATGCATGTATGTTTTTAATCTACCTTGCAGACATGCAATTAGACAATACGATATCAGCATAGTAACTACTGGTATATATAGAGCAGTGTAACACGAGGAACTATGTATATATATATATATATATATATATATATATATGTACGTAGGAGCTGACGTTAGCCACAGAGCTGCAGTTTTTATCTGATGCTGGTTGCTATGTCAACGACCATAACGAACGATGAAGGTCGCCAGGCATTGGTATTCCACAAGCCTCATCTGACTACTTCCGAGGAGCCGAAGACGTGGTAAGTCAATCATGACCACCTATTTAGTCTTTTTTCCTTAATGTGCATTCTTTGGCAGTGCAGGTTATGGAGTTAGACAGTTCACATGTGATAATCTATCAAGCCGACGCCGTTCTCACTGGCTAGTGCGGCATCCAAGGTCTTCTTTCCAAAGCAAGCCTCGATTATTGTCCTTGCCGCATAGAGAGTGCGTTTCTGATCACTAGCTGAGCCGATGTCCGGGTTGATCTCTGCTAGGTCAAGACACGTCAGCATACCTGTAGACATAATGCAGGATTTTTTTCTCTCCATTTTACCCATTTTGCAGCCTGTCTATCTATCTATTTATCTCTCTCTCTCTCTCTCTCTCTCTCTCTCTATCTATCTGTCTATCTGTCTGTCTGTCT